ATTTTTTTTTTATTTTTTTTATATTTTTTTTTTGATTAAATATAATAAATAATAAATCTATAAGTATTTATAATATTCTTTAAAAAATTTAAATTAATAATTCATTAAAATTATAATTAATATTTAATTTTAAACATTATAAAAGATATGTAATTAAAATAATTATAAAGTTAATAAATTTTAAATTTTAAATTAATTAATTTTTTTTAAATAAAATAATTTTTTAAATTAAAAAATACATAATCTTTTTGTTTAAAAAATCATGACATTGAGTCAAACTAAAATATTATACTCTTAATAAAAACTACTATTTTTTTTAAGTATTTTTATTTAAAATCAACTCTTATTAATTTTGAAATAAATTTATAAATAAGTAAAAAATTAATAAATAAAAAGTGAAATAAATATTAAATTTCCAAAATTTCTAATATTGTTTATTTCGAATTTTATGATATATTAGTTATTTTAAAATTGTTATTCATTAAAAAATTTATTTTTAGCTTTATTTTTATGATTATTCTTTTAATAAAGCTTATTTTTCTATAATATACTATATTATATTTTAATACTGAAAATTATTATAAAGATATATTTATTACTAATAGAATTTATATCTTTTTTTATATCAATAAAAGTCTTATATTTATTGTCTTTTTTTATTGATTTAAACGAAAGATATGTTTTATTTTTTTAAAGATTTTTAATTTTTTTTTTTTCTTAGATGTTTAGTTGTTTATATTGCGCACGTTTTTTCTTGTATATGGATAGATGAATCCAGGTTAAAGTTAAATTGAATTTTTTTGGTTAGAATAATTAGGTTTATAAGAAAAATAAAATAAAAGGGAATCGAATATTTACATTATCTATATTTTTTTAAAAAAGATATAATTATTGACAGTTATTGAGATCCGAAAATGGAATTCAAATGTTGTGGGAGTATAGTGAATTATATACATTATTAAAAATAAAAATTAGAGGAAATTTAATTAATAATTATATGAATAAGAAAAATATTAATATAATTCTATAATATATTATTTGAGGAAATTTATTCTTAATAATATAAACATTAAATAAAAATTAATTTCGATGTTTTTGGATTCTTTTAAAAAAATAAATAATAATGTGATAAAAACATTTAGAAATTTGGTTGTTTTTAGTAAAAAGAAAAAATATATTGTTTAAAATAAAAATGTAAGAAAAAAAATTGAAACTTAATAATATTAAATAAATTCTTATAACGAATTTATTGTTTTGTTTAATATAAAATATTTGTTATTATAAAAAATTAAAATGAATTATTAAGAAGAAAAATTAATCTTTAATAACTTAAAAGTAATTCTTTGTAAATCTAATATTATACGAATAACAATAAAATAGTATTATTATTATTTTTTTTCATTTTTTATAATTTTATAGTAAATTTTTAAAATCTTCAAATTCATTCGATTTTATGAATTTTATTAATGTTTTTTTAGTCGAAGTAAATACTAGTCCTGGAGTTTTTTCTATTAAATCAATTAAATTTCCTTCTTGCCTTTATTTTACTTATAAATTTTATAACATTAGTTTCTTTATTTTCTCCTAAAATTCATTTTTTTCTCGAAATATTAATAACTCATCTATTGTTGCTATCATATCGCATTCAATAAATTGTTTACTTACACTTCCTATATCGATTAAAACTTAATATTTTCTCATTATTAAAGGGTGATGATCTAAGGAAATATCTGAATAGCTAAAAGATGTAAGATATTTGCTCAAATCAATAAAATCGACTTAACTTACATTTATTTTTTATTTAATGAAACGAATATCTTCCTCGTTTAATAATTTTTTTAATTAAAAGTTATCTTCGGTTTCTTATGTGTAATTTAGCTTTTTGAAAAATTCAAAACTTTGTTCTAATTAATGATGTTTTCCATATGTTTCTTAATATTTGCTTATATATAATTAAAATACTCTTTATAATACATCTAATCTTTATTCTTAAATTTTATATTTATATATATATATATATATATATATATTTATATATAATATAAATATTTATATACATATATATAAATATATTAAATTTATTATTTTTTATTTTATATTTTTACTTTCCATTTTTTTAACATTTTCTATAGATTTTAATATTATTTATCCATATTCATTTAGATCTTTAACATTTTCCAAAGCTTAAAATCTTAATTTTATTTCTTCATTTAAAAAATCTTTCTTTTATTTTTTTATATTTGATTCTCTGTTTCCACCGATCATTTCCGTATATAATTTCATGTATTTAGACCTTCTTTTTTAAAATAAAAGTTCTTGCTTTTGGTATTTCTATTATATAGTTTAAATTTAATTTTTCAATGTTTTCAGATTTTTCTCAAAATCCTCGTTTTCATGGAAAAGAAAGTCTTTTAAAATATTGATTTCTATATAAGTTACTAAATGATTAGAATTTTTTCCTTGATTTTCCATTACTTCGTCAGTTTCTTATAATGCTAAATTTAATGTTGGATACCTTTTTTTTTATTTTATTTTATTTTATTTTAAAATACCATTCGGATTTTGAATCAGATATGTCTTTCCAACAATGGCTTAATTTTGGTATTTTTTAAAGGAAGTTTTTAGAATAAATAATTTCTTATTCTTTTTTTTCTTTAAAATATTTAACTATTAATTACATTGAGTCTTATGATATTTTCATTCTTTTTTCGATTTTATATAATATGTTTTCAATAATACATTTTCTTTATTATAATTCTTCTTATAATTTAACTTCCCATTATTTGATAATATTAAAAGACTTATTTTCCAATTATTTTTAATTAAAATAATAAATATTTATGTTTATTTGTTTACTTCTTTTTTTATATCTATTACAGATTTATTGCTATGATTTTAAAAAGACTATATTTTTACCTCTTTTTTTTCTTCTTTTTTTAAAGAGTTTTCATTATTTTAAGTACATTCTGATTTATCTTGTTCTTCTTCCTCAACTTTAGATTTATTTTATTTTTAGTTTTCTTGCTACTGAGAATTCATTAATTATTTTATTAAATAATAATATTATTGAGAATTTTATAAAAATAATATAGTTAATAATAAATTATGTTTTTATTATTACTAAATTAAATATCTATTAAAGTAAATAAATTAATATTCTTAAAAGATATAAATTAATTTTTTATTTAAAAAAAAAATATATATATTAAAGGAAATGAGTATTCATTAAAAGATTTTACAAAACCATTAAAAAAATTAAATAAATTAAAATAATAATAATACAAATTAGATATAGACATAATAAGCATATGATACTTAAAATGATCATTTATAAAAATCTAATAATTAAATATTTTCAGTTCAAAATTCTAATAATACAATACAATAATTAGCATAAAAATATAACTCAAGTATAGAATTTATTCGTCCTACAGCAAACATGTTTCCTAAAAATGCTAAAATTAGTAAAGAATCATAATACAAATATGCTTTAATAATAAACCCATATAATTAATATAATGTAAAAACATAAAAAAATATTCTAAAATAAATAAAATATAAAATAAAAGACCTAATAAAATATAGAAAAATTGTAATAAAAAGATAAAAATATTTTAAAATGTCGTAATTGTAAATCCATAGCAAATCCATTTTTTTAATTTACAAATAATAATTATAAAGTAAGTTAAAAAAAAAAAAAAAAACCAAAAAAATAATAATAATTAGTTTACATGTAATATTTGCCAACAAAAAGATTCTGTTCCAAACAAAAATTATTTTCTGCCTGAAAAAATGTAAGAAATCACATAGCTTAATAATTCTTCATTTGATATGATTACAACTTCTGAGTAAAATCAAAATTTTTATCTTTTTTTATTAAAAAAATAGTTATTTATTAGATCCTCCTATGGCTCCAACTTATTTTTTTTTAATAGATGTTTCATAAGAAGCATAAAAAAGTGGAATGTTAAATATAATATGTGATAGTTTAAAAGAAATTATTATTTAAGATAAACTTTAAGGAGGAGTTCGTAAATAAATAGGGATAATAACTTATGATTCATAAATACATATATATAATTTAAAATCAAATCTAAAATAAGCATAAATGTATGTTTTACCAGATTTTAAAGACGGAGAGTTGTTTCCTCTTTAATTAGAAAATTTAGTTGTTACCATTGAAGATTCGAAAGATATTATTGTGGATTTATTAGATAATCTACCTAATATGTTACAGAATTAATATATTAATAATAATACTAGTTGTTTTATTTATGCTTTGGATGTATTTTTTTATATAGAATATATTAAGGATTAATTTTATTTTATTTTTATTAAATTTTTATAAGGCTGCTTCTAAAATGCTTAAAAACAATGGAGGTTTATTATTTGTTTTTTAGGCAAATTCAAATATTGTTAACGAACCTATTTTTACTATTAAAGAAGTTAATAATGAAAATGTAAAAATTTTAATAATAAATTTATTTATGTTTTGTTTTAGAAATATACAAGACCTTCTTCAAAACATTTTAAAATTTTAAGCAAGGAAATGATTAAAATATGTCCTTTATTATTTGTATTTTCTTAAGAATTCAAAAATCTGATTACTTTAGGCGAATTGCCTAGAATTTTAAATGGGGAAATATATTTTTATCATGATTAAGAATAAAGATGTATTATTTATTTTTTTGTGAAAAAAAAAAAATTATTATTTTTTTAATATATATAGAGAAATAGTTTAAAGAAGATTTATTATATAATCTTTAAAAAAGTTTTAATTGGGAAAATAATTTAAAAATTAGAATTTCTCCAGGATTTAAAATAAAATCAATTAACGGGAGTTGTAAATAAAAGCCAAATGTTTTTTAGTTTTATTTTCATAAAAATAAAAAGTTGCTTTAAAATCAAAAGATTAATTTGTATTTCCTTGTGATTTAAGAAAACCCTTACTTCTCGACTTAGAAATAGAAGAAAATCAATCATAATAAAATAATATTGAAGTCTTTTCTATATAAACAGAACTATTATATACTAATAACGAAGGATAAAGACTTTTAAGATTTCATAATTATGTTATTCCTTTAAGTTCTTCTTTGTAATAAATATATGATAGTATAGATCTTGAGGCTTATTTTTTTTGTTTATCTAAAAGAATAATCGAAAATTTATATTATTATAATATAAATGAAATAAAAACAATGTTAATTACCGAAGTAAAAAAGCTTAATTATTAAGCTAAAATAACTGAAAAAGTAATTTTAAGTTAAAATGAATAAATTTTTAAAAAATTAAAAAAAAAAGAATAAATTATCAATAAATGAAAATGAGTTTCTCTTATATATTTTAGGGCTACTTAAAAATCTCATATTGAACCATAATTACAGTTTATACTTTATATAAATAAAATTTAATTCAAATTTTTAAAAGATAAGAATATTCAAAGTGATTATTAAAACAGTCTAAGAATTTAATTAACTGGAAAAAGTATTGAAGAAGTTATTACCTTTTTTATTCCTTAGCTATTTTGTATTGATAATTTGTAGAATAATTCTTAAAACGAAAATAATTATTAGCTTCCTGAAAAATATCCATTAAGCTTTAGATCTTTGGGAAATACAGTTTTTTTAATGGATGTGAATTATGCATTAATTTTATATTTAAATCCTCAGTAAAAAAATATATAATTAAATTAATAATAATTTATTAATATATAATTATAGTTCTAGTAATCAATAAATATTAAACGATATAATATGTTATTCAGAATAAATTAAAAATTATAGTGAAGTAAAAAAAAATATTTTCGTAAATATATAAATATTATTAATGTAAATTTAAAGGATATGTTGTATAATAATATTAATAATCCTATAAATGAATAACTTTTTAAATTAATTTAATAATTAAGAAGGTAATTAATTATTTATTATTAAAAAAAAATATTATAAAAATTTAATTTTTAAAAGATAAAAATAAACACAGTATTGTCCTTTATACATTACAGTCGCAGGTTCAGGAGATTATTTAGAATAATTGTTAAAAAATTATATATAAAAAATATTAATTTTATTTTTAAATATAAATTATTATAAAGATTTTATTATATGCTTATTGAAGATAAATTTGAAAATTTTAAGGGAGGATATAATATTAATTTTGATTAATTCAAAAAAAATATAAACACTTTAATATGATATATAATTAAAATAATTTTATAAATATAAAATTCATTATATATAAAAATTGTATAAAATTAAAAAATAATTAGTTAAAAACTTTTAATATAATGAAAATAAAGTAAAATTTAAAATACAGAACTTTAAAAAGAAAATTAATATATAAAAAATTTATGTATAAATATATATATATATATTTATATATAATTATATATAATTATATTTACATATATATATTTTATCTATATTAATATAATATCTTTTATTTATTTTTATATGTTAATATTTTTATATATATACATTTTTAATATAATATTTTTTTTTATACTTACACTTAAAAAACATACATAAACACGAATTAATTTTTTTTTTTATGTATTTTATTATTTTATATATAAAATAATTAAATTATTTTCATTAAAAATTAATGTTGCTACTACTATTACTGAAATAATTATTTATTATTTCAATATTTATTTTTTATTCACATTTTTTGAATTTATTTTAAATATCTTATTTAATTAATACCTAATTATTTTTCTATATAATTGTCCTTTCCTTTGACTTACTTATATTTTTAATTTTTTAGATAATTGAATCTTCATTTAAACGTATATAATTACTAATAATTTAGTTAATATTAAAAATATTATAAATATATTACTTTATTTTATCAATTAGTTTTTTTATTTTAATTTCAGAATTTTTATTTTATTAAAAATCATTATAATCTTATGTTTTCATATAATTAATATTTTATTAAATTTCTTACATTTTAATTTAATTTAATTAATTATTTAATTTTACATTTTCATATTATAAAGCAGAGTTAGCTTTTATTAAATCGTTAATTTTTTAATCATTATTATTTATTGATAAATTACATTATTAATTTTTTAATTATTTAATTTCTTCTTTTAAATTTTTTATTTATTATTCATATTATTCTGAGATTTTTTTGTTATTTTCATAATCTTCTTTTGGCTGATTTTGACATAAAATTTATAAAGTTTATAAATCTTCTTCTTTGCTTTGCATTTCTTCTTTATGTTATTCTATTAAAAAATTTATTTATTTTTAATGATCTTCTTTTATTTAAAGAAATTTGTTTTCGAAATTTTCTTTAAGCTCCTTTATTTTTATATTTTGCTCTTTTCGGATTTTATTTATTAAATTTTTTAATTTTTTATTATCCTCTTCTGTATTAGTTGATTATTTTTATAAAGATTATAATGATTCTTCTAGGTCTTCTTAATTGCTTTATTATAATTATTAAATATTTAGAATATTAAAAGAGTTCTCATCTATTTAATTGCTCAAAATAGAAGAATTAATTTAAGTTGAACATGTATTGTCTTTTCTATATTCGCTTATTTCAAAAGATTTAAATTGTTTTTTGTATTATATAGTATTTTCCTTCATACAATGTATTTTAAATGTAATTAAAAGTGTTTATTTATTTTTTTAAATATAAAAAGGAATTTTAATAATAATTAATTATTAACGATTAAAATAAAAAAATAGATAGATATAATTGGGATTTTTAATATAAATAATTTTATAAATTAAAATAAATAATATAACTATAATTAACAGACAAAAATAAATAAAATTTAATGAAAATATTTATTTTTATTTAAAAAAAATTATATAAGAATAAATATAAATATATATATATTTATATATTAAAAGTAATTACTATATTTTATTTTTTTACAAAAAATAATAATAAATATAATTCACTAAGTTTTGAAATATTTTCGGAATTTAATTTATCTTTTAAAAGATATTCTGTTTAGTCTTTTAAATTATTTTAAATAATCTTCAATTTAATCATCACAGATACTATTTTTATTATCGTCAATTAAACTTTAATAAATTTTAGCATCTAACTCTGATATATTACTACTATTATTGATTTTTTCAATAAAATCTTTAAGAATTCTTTATTATTCATCAACACAATTTTCAATGTAATCAATACTTTCGAGATGCTAAGAAAATTATTTTAGGAAATCTTAATTAATAGTTTATTGATTTTTATAAATCATAGAACTTTTTTAAAAAACATTGATGTCATCATTATTATTTTAAATGTTATGATTAAAAGAGTTATTAGCTTTATTTTATTAATTAATAAAAGATTCATTATATTTTCCATCTAAAATATCAAATGTATTTTAATGTTCAGTATTATATTATTTAGTTATATTAAAGTTATTTTTCATATTAGTTTTTGTAAAAGGATTGATTATTTTTTTTCTATTAAATAAGCAAATTTAATCTCTAGAATTTTTCTGTTTTTCTTAAAATTAATGGAATTTAATTTCATTATTTAATTATTAAATTTTTAATTTTTATTTATCTTTTTGACTTCTATTTTAATATTCTTCATATTAATCTAAGGTTACGAGTTCTTCTTCAAATGAAATTGAATGTGATTATTTTTTTTTAATAAAGTTATTTTATTATTATTTTTCGTAAGAAAAAGGTTTTTATCCATCCAAAAATTCACATCCGCAAAATTAAAGTAATGTATATTGTTCTTTCGAGAGCATAAGTTTTATTGCGATTTTTAATTTAATTAAATCTTAGTATATTACATTTATATCGATATTTTTTTTGGCTTTATTTAAAAATTTATGATAGGCAATAACTCTTTCGTCTTCTTTTTTTATATGGAATATTATTTTTACAAATTAATATGCGTCTTTAATTTTTCTTTTGAACCAATTGCTTTCTTTTTTTTTAACTTTTAATTATTTAAAATTTAAATTATTTACTATTTATTTGTTTTATATTATTCTTTAATATTTTTATTATTTTTTATTTGTTTCTTCAAAAGCTAGTTTAAGAGCAGTTTTTTGATAATAATTTCTCAAAAATAAAGCCCCAATACCTTCTATAATTTTGTATTGGGAAATTCTCCTACCAATAATTCCTAAAATAAGCATTGTATTAAAAATACTCATAAACTAAGCCAAAACTTCCGTTATTTAAGGGAAATAAATCCAATTTACTTATTAAATTTAACTTAGTTCAATTGAAAAAAAAGCCACGCCTTCAAAATGTAATCTTTAAAAAGAATTTTCCTTTGTGAAATAATTATTTACCCGTATATAATCTTATATATATTCGAATGATGTTTGTTCTTAAAAAAGTAAACCTTGTCTTACATGTGTGTACCCCTTTATTAAATTTAATTAAATAAAAGATACTAAATTAGGGTCTAGAATAAAAAAATCTGACTTATAACCACTTAATAAACTTTTTTCAAAATGATCATATTACTTTATTTTAGTGTGTATATAAAAAAAATTATCATAATCATATAAAATTTTATCTATTTCAGATTCATTTGCACAGTTTTAGTCTTTTCCTTTACATTTGTTTAGTCTTATTACATAAGTTGTTTATGAAGCAGTAAATGGATTAAAAAATATTTCAGAGTATTTTTTAAAAGTAGAAAAATCAATACATTAATATCCTTTAAAACGCTCAAGTTTACATTCTTTGGTTTATATATTATGATATATTACAGATCCGTCATCAAAAAATTAACCGTATTATAATTACATTTAGAGGTAGTTTTTATTTTAAATTTTTTAAAATTAAGATATTGTTAAACCTTTGATAACAAATTCAAAAGCTATAAAATCCTCATCTGGATAGACAGAATCTTAGCCTGTTTAAATAATTTTCTATGTAACAATCCTTGGTAAGAGTTAATTTTAAAAATATTAATTTAAAAGAAATATTAAATATGATGTGGATAATATTATTATTGTTAATGAAAGTAAACCGCCTAATATTGTTTAATTAAGGTTTTAATTTTAATTATGTCCAATTTTAAAATTAAATGGAGAAGAAAATAAATCAAATTATCGAGCAAATACTAATAGATTTCTTTTCATATAATTATTAAGTTAAAGTTTTATAAAATAAGAAATTTTATTTTTTGTATTATAATTATAATTAATTAAATGTAATAATTATTATAAAAAAAAATGTTATTATAAATATTATTTTTATATTTATTATTGTATATATTATTATTAATATTTTTATTATTATTATTTTTTATTATTTTTTATTATTTTTTATTAATATTATTATAATTATTATTATTTTTTTTTTTTTTACTA